CTGTCCAACTTCCCCAACTCCTTTTATCAAATAGACTCTCTTTACCCCATTGTATATTCTTGCCTCCTCTGTCATAGATTAATCGACTATATAGGCATGGGTTTATTTCTAGGCTCTCTATTCTGTTCCATTAATCTATGTGTCTGTTTTTATGCCAGTACCATACCGTTTTGATTACTATAAACTTATAGCAATGTTTGATATCAGGTAGCACGATACCTTCAACTTCGTTCTTTCTCTAGATTGTTATAGCTATTCAGGGTCTTTTGTGGTTCCACATAAATTTTATTTGTTCTAGTTCTGTGAAAAAATGCCACTGGTATTTTGATGGGGTTGTATCGAATCTACAGATTGCTTTGGGTAGTATGGACATTTTAACAATGTTAATTCTTCATATTCATGAGCATGGTATATACTTCCATTTACCTGTACCTTCTTCAATCTCTTTCTTCAATGACATAATTTTAAGAACATAATTGCCTTCGTTAAATTTTTCCTAGGTATTTTATTTCTTGATGCATTTGTAAATGGGATTGTTTTCTTAATTATCTGATAGTTTATCAGTGTATAAAAATGAAACTGATTTCTGAATATTAATTTTGTACCCTGCTACTTTACTAAATTCACTTATCAGTTCTAACAGGTTTTTTTGGTGAAATCTTTAGGTTTCTCTATATGTAACATAATGTCATCTGCAAATAATGACAGTTTTATGTCTTCCTTTCCAATGTGGATGCCTTTTATTACTTTTTCTTGTCTGACTGCTGTGGCTAGGACTTCCAGTACTATGCTGAATAAAAGTAATGAAAGTGGACAGCCTTGTCTTGTTGCTGACCATAAGAAAAATGCTTTTAGCTTTTCCTCATTGAGTATGATGTTCGCTGTGGGTTTGTCTCTTGTTGCTGACCATAAGAAAAATGCTTTTAGCTTTCCTCATTGAGTATGATGCTGTGGGTCTGTCACATACAGCCTTTATTATGTTGAGGTATGTTCCCTCTATTCCCACTTCGCCGAGTCTTTATCATAAATGGATGCTAGATTGTGTCAAACGCTTTTTCTGCATCTATTGGTATGATTATATGATTTTTATCCTTCATTTTGTTTATGTGGTGTATCATATCACTTGGTTTGCAGATAGTGAATCACCCTTGAATCCCAGGAATAAACTCCACTTGATCATGGTGTATGATCTTTTTAATGTAGTGCTGAATTCAGTTTGTCAATATTTTGTTGAGGATTTTTGCATTTATGTTCATCAGGGATATTGGCCTAAAATTTTCTCTTTTTTTCTTTTAAATGTCTTCAATTGGTTTTAGAATCAGTGTTAATGGTGGCCTTGTAAAATGAGCTTGGGAGCCTTCCCCTTTCTTGAATTTTTTGGAATAGTCTAAGAAGGATGGATGTTAATTCTTCTTCGAACGTTTGGTAAAATTCACCTGTGAAGCCATCGGTCCAGGACTTTTGTTTTTTGGGAGTTTTTTGGTTACAGATTCAATTTTGTTAGTAGTAACTGGTCCGATCAGATTTTGTTTCTTCTTGATTCATTCTTGAAAGAGTATATGTTTGTAAGAATGTATCCATTTCTTTTAGATTGTCCAATTTGTTGGTATACAATTCATGGCATTTTCTTATAATTCTTCGTATTTCTGTGGTGTCAGTTCATACTTTTCTTTCATTTCTGATTTTATTTATTTTGGTCCTATCTCTTTTTTTTCAAGAAGATTTCTTAGTTAAAAGTTTATCAGTTTTGTTTAGCTTTTTGAAAAATCAGTGCTTAGCTTCATTAATCTTTTGTATTTTTTTAAGGTCTATCTCATTAATTTCCATTCTGATCTTTATTTCCTTCTTCTACTCACTTTGGGCTTTGTTTGTTGTTCTTTCTCTAGTTCCTTTAGGTATAAGGTTGAGATTTTTCTTGTTTCTTGAGGTAGGCCTGTATTGCTTTGAATTTCCCTCTTAGAGTTGCTTTTGATATGTCCCATAGGTTTTTTTTTTGCGGGGGGAGTTGTTGTATTTTCATTTATCTCAAAATATCTATCTTCTTTGATCTCACTGTTAACTCATTCAATGTTTAGTAGTATGTTATTTAGCCTCTGTGTATTTGTGTATTTTTCAGTTATCTTGTAATTGATTTGTTTCATACCATTGTGGTCGAAGAAGATGCTTAATATGTTCAATGTTCTTAAATTTATTGAGACTTGTTTTGTTGCCTAACATGTTATTTATCTTGGAAAATGTTTCATGTGCACTTGAAAAGAGTATATGTTCTGCTGCTTCGGGGTGAAATGCACTAAAAATATCAATTAAGTCCATCTATCTAATATATCATTTAAGGCTGCTGTTTCTTTGTTGATTTTCTATCTGGAAGATCTATCCATTGATGTCAATGGGTGTTAAAGTCCCCTATCATGATTGAATTACTGTCGATCTCTCCCATTATATCTGATATTTGCTTTATGTATTTAGGTGCTCCTATGTTGGGTGCATTAATGTTTACAAGGGTTAGATCCTCTTCTTGGATTGCTCCCTTTATCATTATGAAATGTCCTTCTCTGTCTCTTTTTATGTCTTTAAGTCTATTTTGTCTGATATAAGTACTGCTACTTCGACTTTTTTTTTTCATTTCCATTTGCATGAAATCTCTTTTTCTTTATTTTCAGTCTGTGTATGCCAATCTAACGTGGATCTCTTGTAGATGGTATATGTATGGGTCTTGTTTTCTTATCCATTCAGCTATCCTGTGTCTTTTGATTGAAGCATTTAATCCATTACATTTAAAGTAATTATTGGCAGGTATACTGGAATTGCCATTTTATTATCGATATTTATTATCTACATATCCCACTTTCTTCTTTTTCTTAAAGAAGTCCCTTTAACATATTTTGATAATTCTGATTTGGTGGTAATGAACTCCTTTAGCTTTTTCTTGTCTGGGAAGCTCTTTCTCCTTCAATTTTAAATGATAACATTGCTGGGTAGAGTAATCTTGGTTGTAGGTCCTGGCTCTTAATCACTTTGAATACTTCGTGCCAATCCCTCTGGCCTGTAAATTTTCTGTTGAGAAATCAGCTGACAGTCTTATGGGAGCTTCCTTGTAGGTAACTGCCTTTCTCTTGCTGTTTTTAAGATTCTCTCTTCGTATTCAACCTTTGGCATTTATCATGATGTGTATTGGTGTGGGCCTCTTTGGGTTCATCTTGTTTGGGATTCTCCTGGGATTGTATATCTATTTCCTTCACCAGGTTAGAAAAGCTGTCAATCATTATTTCTTTAAATAGGTTCTCAATCCCTTCCTCTCTTTCTTCTCCTTCTGGTCCCTATGATGGGAATGTTGTTACACTTGATGTTGTCCAGAGGTCCCTTAAACTACATTTTTTAAATTATGTTTTCTTTTTGCTGTTCTGACCAAGTGTTTTCTGCTACCTTTTCTTCCAAACCGCTGATTTTGATCCTATGCTTCATCTAATCTGTTGATTCCTTCTAGTGTGTTCTTTATTTCGGTTACTATATTCTTCAATTCTAACTGGTTATTTTTTATGCTATGCCCTTTTTATGCTTACTATCTCTTTGTTGAAATTCTAAGTTCATTGAGCATCCTTATAACCAGTGTTTTGAACTCTGCTGGTAGTTCTGTTTAGCACTTTTTCTGGAGTTTTCTCCTGTTCTTTCATTAAGAACATGTTTGTCTCCTCATTTTGGCTGCCTCTCTGTATTTGTTTCTATGTACTCTGCAGAGCTGCTATGTCTGTC